ATAATTCACGTACATCATTGCTTTATTAATCAATTTTTAATTTTATTAATTAATTGTCGTTTGTTTACCAAGATTTTTCGAGAGCTCGAGCGAGTTTATTAATTGTTACGAGTATGATCTGCAGGCTAGATATTAAACATCAAAATAAATCAATCGCGTATCGTTTTGTTACGATATAAATTTGTACATTATAAATTAATTAAATCTCGCGCGGGATAAACGATAGAATCGCAGCAGCATTGACGCTACAAGGCAACAACATCGGCGGAAGCAGTGGCGACGGCACCGGCAGAGCCAGAGTCGAAAATGATATCATTAATTTACCCAAGTTGGCATTCGAATTCGCGCGCGCGGCGCTTATACGCCAAGAGCCCACAACGAGCTTATATAATACACGCTCGATTCTAAAACTATTACAACGTGCAGCAGCGTTACACGCAGCGGTGCAGCTTAATAACATTAACTCGATAAACGCGCAGCAACAGCAGCAGCAGCAGCGATCCTGGGGCGTCTTGCTATATATCGCGAGACCGTGATCTTTATGCAGCTAATAAGGCATTCGAAATGCGCGGAAAATCGACAACAATGCGGCAGTGTGGCCTCGGTTGATGCTGCTGCAGCAGCTACCTGTGTGCACCGAGCGCGTAATGCGCCACACCGTGTGTTATGGTATAAGCAGCAGCGGCGCAACAGCTTTGAATCGACGAGCTATTTCGAGGCTTTGTTAATACGGCCTATAGACGTTCTTCCGAGTCATTGTTGTTGCGGGAATTGTATCCAATGTAAATGCAGGGTATAATACGCCGTCGCGCGCTCCGTATCCTCCTATATACATATGCAATTCAGCCGCGATATCCACTGTATACGGATAAATTATATTATATATAATAATACATCGACGTGTATAATTTGCAATAGCTGCGAGTCAGAGAGGATAGGGGGTGGGTGGCGCGCGAGCTAGCTCTCACGAGCGAGCGGGCTATAGAGTTTGCAGTTTCAATTAGAGAATACCGACAATTAGCTATTGGTTAGCTGCTGTAAACTGCTGATATTACCTTCTGTGCAAAGCAAACCGCTGTACCCGTCTCCCTCGCGCGTCCCGACCTTTATCCGCGCGTTTCGCCCTATACACTATACACACCGTCAAGGTGCGCCTCTATATACAAGTCGCTCCGTGTGGCCGCCGCCGCTACTGCCTTCTGATGCTAATCACTCAGAGTCTCAGGGAGAGAATACAGAGAGTCAGAGACACACCGTCAATCGCAAACTTGAACCACTAATCCATATTACATTGGGAGCTTTGGCGATGTCTGTTTAAGGTTTAATTGCACGCGAGAGCGAGTGCGCCTCGAGAGCTACTGCTGCTGCTGCTGCGCCAGTTCTATAGCCTATATTATATGTACAGCTTGAGTTTGGGAGAGAGAGCACAAGATGCCACGCGTTCTTCGTCTGGATTCACGTCGATTTGTTATTATGCATCTACTCGAGATGTATTGTGGTACTATATTATCGTTTCTATGGAGTAATCCAAAGCTCATTGTGGAAAAACCGATCGACGTCATTCGAGGTTTTGGATTTTGGAGATCGGAGTCAGCATCGTGGCTCTCTGGCAGATTTAGAGTTCCGACATTTTTTCGATGATAAATACTTTAAAATTACATTTATTATCAATGAATTATACAGTTCGATTTGATGTTACTTACGTTGTATACGTAGAAATATGTGAAGAAGATAGGCTTGTACCTAAAAAAAAACTCCAATAATTGGACACTCTTGCGTATTTTCCTTAAATACATATACTGGCTCGAAGCCTCCCTCCAACGCACCCACTGCATAGCTACGTTATAATAGCAAAGCCTAGGCGAGATTCGATGCGTAGTTATATGGTCGTCGCGTCGTCGCTGCGGCTGCTTCTGCGTTTATTGTTATCATTATTAGCGTCCATTATTCATTGAATTTTCATTAAATTACGCGTGTTTATAATCTCTCCTGAGTGCACTTAGCCATCTTGGCTCGGTGGTATCGTGTACATCCGAGCTGTACATTATTATATATAGCGGCACGCGGCCGAGAGTTTGTCAGCTCCTCTCGTCCTCTTCCTCCTTCTCCTCCTCCTCTTCCTCGATACAATAGCTATTATATATATTGTAAATACACGCAGCAGCGCGCGATACGCAGCAAAGTCGCTCGCGCAGCGCACCAGTTTCGCAAAAGTCACGTTCTTCGGGGCTCTCTGCGTGGATCGGCTGCGAGGCTTTCTTGTATCAATATAGCTTCGCGCGAACGCGATACTACTACTACCACCTACTCCTCCGAGTCGACGAGAGAAAAAGACGCGCAGATGGGTAGAGAGAAAGAGAGAGAGAGACGTGCTTAAAGCTCCCGATAAAAGGCCAATCATAATGTATTCCCGCAAATGGCACTGCTGCTGCGCTACTCTCACTCGGCAGGACGAGTAATTTTGACAAATTAACTTTTTCCATCTTCTCCCGCGCGAGCGAGCCGCGCTGCGCAACATTGGCTGCTGTCGATATATAATAATATACAAGCCAGCAGCGCACCGTGAAAGTAGGCGCGCGGTCGAACGCGCCAATAAAAGCTCTCTCTCGCTGCTGTTGCTGCGCGTCGATGATTGAGCTTTCTGAATTGTTGCCGCGCACTTATTATTGCCATTATTGCCGCTGCTGCTATTATTATTAATCATGGCGACGTTATTAGCCGCATTTTATTATATGGTCGCACGGCTCGCTCACAGACACATTTATACATATTACATACAGGCGACATGGGGGTGGTACAAATCGAGCTTATATTACTATAGTATACTCCGGCTAGCTGCTGCTACTGGCTTACTATATACACAGCATGACGGATAAACAATGGATATACTAAATTAATTTCTATTTGGTCAACTCCATTGCACTTAACTCGTGATTAAATTGTGGTCTCGCAGCTTTCGTATAAATATATATGTAACGCCGAAAACGCGTGTATATTACCCGGGTGTACATATTATATACACACACACCACGTATGCACACACAGAAGCGGCGAATTGTATTTTCGTATATATGTATTATAAGCCCCGGGTATCTATATATGTTACGGCGCTCCCACATTGTCTTTGATCTTTTAATCTAGCCTTCCCGCACCCGCCCGCCTACTGTAGCTGTATTGGCCTCTATCCCTATACGCACTGCAGTAGATAGGTATTTGCTCGAGGATAAAAAAATTAAGGGCGAGTATCTTCTTTTTTTTCGTCGTCGTCTCGACGTTCTTCTTTATCTCGAGCATGTGAGCCACTTTATAAATATGCAAAAGAAAAAGTCATAACCGCACGGCGCGCAGAGCTATACGCTATGTTTCGAGAGCTGCGTAAACGCAAAGCGAATATAACGCGAAATTGAAAATGCCTGTAACGCAAAATTGTGCACGAGTCTCCGAATCAATGATCACGGTATCAAATGTCGTTGGTATATTCAGCTAATATTTTGTTCTATGTAAAGATCATATACACGCGTGCGAGTACTGGATAAAGTCGGTGAGAATTAATTTTTTGTTCTCATTTTTTTCCCCTCTATATATACGGGCGGTATTAGCGACAAAAGTTCACAAACGCTGCTCCGCTGCTGCTGCTGGCATTTATATAGAGCAAATTTGGTTTTGCAAATTTAGCGAAAAATTCGTGCCACTCGGGCATTTTTGGATTTTCCCGAAATGTGCACAGTGAACTATTTAATTTTCGTGCTCGCGCGCATGAAAGAGCTGCTAATGCCGCCGCCGCTGCACACATTTTCATCAAGGCTTTTACATTTATACAAAAATATCCGGAAACCGATGTAGAAATTTAAAATTTCACGATCAATTTGATGAAAATTCTCGTTTCGAGTACATTTCGAAAGTCGCTTTTAAGTTAGATTATAAGTTCGTGTTCGCGCGGAGATGAAACGAACAGCAGCGTAGCAGTATGACACGTTGAAATTATGACTGTTGAGTAGTATTGACCGTTACGAAGACGATTACATGCCGACGCCGATAATATATATCGGAGATGTTTGAAGCTTCGTATCAATTATTCAGTGCTTTTCATTTGGAAATAGCTCTCAAATGCACTTACCGATGACTGCAACGCCGTATATAGATACAAGTAGTCCACCAAGATAAAAGGAAAAAAGTGAATACAAGAATAAAATCTTCTGAGCCATTTATGTACGTGCGTATGTGTGTTTTGCAGCCAGTATAGAGATGCAATAAAAGATTAAATCCTAGATTCGGAGCCGAGCGTATATAACATTCGTCTATACATAGTTCATAACCCTAAGGTATGCACTACGCGGGTCATGTCTCATATGCAGCCACAGCAGCAGCAGCAGCAGCAGCAGGGGTATATCATAGCGCGAGGCCCTTTTAAAATTATAATCCGTCGAATAAAACAGAATGTTTGCCAGTTATATAGTAGGCATGCTGCAGCGAGAGTAGATGTATTCAGTGCAGCGATCGTTTATATACAACGTGTGCACCGATAGAATATGTATAGCATCCAACGGTACGTTATATAGTTAAGCGCTTCCAATGTTGCAGTACCGCAGCGACGCAAGTAAGAGAAAAAGGAGTGAAACGATTTCCGCGTCAAATGCCAAAGTTGACTATTTCCGACCGTAATGCAAGTTAAGACATATATCAATGTGGTGTTTTCATTTAGATCTGATGGGTGTTGAGTTCGTCCAACGTGCAGTTTTAGAATCACAAAAGGACGAGTGTCCAAGATCGAAAATCAAGGAACCATTTTTTGAATCACGTACAATGGTTGCCTGTCAAGTTACAGTAGAGGTGGTAAGGTGAACGAATATTACGTAACGAATGTGCCAGGAGAGAAAATTTGTAAGACGATGTTCTTGATGATTAATATTTATTTTAAATTAACTGTAAATGACAGATCATTAACCTTTTAAAATTATCATATAATTAAATTATCATTTATTTGTCATTAAATTATCATTTTATGAAGGATCACTGATGCTGCCATAGAACAAAATAGATTTGGTTTCATTGTTTCTAATGAAGAATAAGAATGGACGATTAGCATAGACCCTGATTGGATCATCTACAGCCATGCGGGATCCAAAAGCAGCTGTAGCTGCAGCTGCTTCAGTGCCTTCTTCGGAGATAGACATTTCGACTTTTTGAATGATTTTATCAAAATATATGCGTTGATTGTAAATGTTTTGAGATGTTAACAGAGACAAATCAGATCTTTGTGGGTCAGTCAACGACTTGACACCCATATTATTCAGAACTTGCGTGAAATCTTCTTGATGAGAGAGCTTCACTTTTGGAAGCAAAAATATCACATCTGTCTGTCCCATATTGTTGATTAGTTTATCGATAATCTCGGGCGTTAAACTATTCCTCATACGTCTTAGTCCGTTCACTTCTTTTGGTATCACAACATACATGGAAACCTGGAATAAAATTAAAATTATCATTTTTCTAATATTTTCGTTAGTTAATATTATTTCAAAGTACCTGTGAATCCTTGTACGGCAGAGAAATAATTTCCAATCCAAGATTTTCATCCTTGTAATAAGGATATTCTCCTTTGCTAGACATCATATCCAACCATTTTTGTCCCGAGGGGGTGTTAAAAGATCCGCTGAGATACAACATTAAAAGTTATTTAAATATATATACCACATCGATCATTTTCTATTAAGCAAAAAATTCGTACTAATTAATATCAAAACGATTCGCCCATTTGCCTTTGAAATATAAAGCAGATGCAATGATAGCTTTAGTATCATATTTAGGTGGTTGATTTACGATTGTATCAATGAGACCGTGCGTTGCAGATTTCACCCAATCATTGATAATGTTTTGAGCTTCTCCATTTCTATAATTGATTCCCCTAGCAAGAGTTTTATAAAACCTCTTACTTTCTGATTCAAATGTCTTACTGACAGGAAGATCTTTCTAAAAACGTATTAAAATTTATGTTTATTTTTATTCTTAAACTATGTGTATCAGCTATGTTACCGTTAAGAACACTCCTGTGCCGTAGTCAACTTTGGGTCCTTCAATCCCACTCCTACCATAAAACGTTTGCTCGATAAGTTTTCCGAAATTTTCATGGAAATTTTTCTCTGAGTTACTGTTGATGTTGAAAATTTTGGCGATTTCATTATAAGTTTGTCCCTTGGATGCCAAGAGAATATTCGCAAGTAACATTTGCAAACTTAGGGGCGAGAAAACAACGTTTGGCTTTTCGGCTACTGTTTTCAACTGTCTATCAATGTACAAAGTCAATTGCATTGTTTGTCTTGACAAAATGTCTCGAAACTGAAATTTTTATGCTTGTAAAATGAATTATAATTTAATTGATTTATGTTTATCTGTATAACTTACGACGTCAAGCGGGTTTTGGACTGCATTTGAGTTACGATATCCAATATTCTGAAAATTAAATGTATAAGTTTTTTTATTGGAATTAGAAATTACAGAGAATTGTAATAATGAGTTAGGTAATTTTGAAAACATTGGTAAGATAGTTCATTTGATTATCTGTAACTTTATAAAAAAAATTTTTTACCGTTTGATATGTTGGGGCCCTTGGCTGAGCAACCTGTCTATGTCCTGGATAGTAATAGTTCTGTAACAAAGTTCATTATGTTCGATATGTTTGCGCAAAAATTTGTTACAAAAAAAATGACGTACCTGATATCTGTAATATTGAGCATGACAAGAATAGAATGACACTAAAAATAGTGTCAAAACGAAGAACTTCATATTGAATGATTTCAATAAATGATTGATGCTAGTTTTTTTTGTTCTAGTATACTATAATTATGTACTGACTTAAAGAACACCCAGAGGCTTCTGACTTTGTAAAACAGTTCGTTCATATTTTTATACCTATGAACTTACTTATGAATGAACAAGTAAAACAAAAAGAAATTCAAGATAAGATTTAAATCATGTACGCCTCACTTGGTTGTTATTTTTGAACAAATTTCGTTCTTTGAATAGAAAAATTGATTGATTGAAACAAACGAATTATTTATCATTTTTTTGTTTATTTTTACATGTTATTATACTTACTCAATCGCAATACGCGAATCTTTATGTTTTGCTAAATAGCAATATTAATTTTAAAATGCATCATATTATATGAATTAACATTGTCTCATTCGGATTCAGAAATTCGGGTTTTTTCTTTCATACTTATACTTATTGTGCATTCGTCCAAATACTTTTCCAGTCGAAAGCTTATCTTGCGGTTACATTTGAACGGAAGGTCGATAAGTCTATTGTTAAAGTCAAGGTTATGGTACCCATTCAACATTGTTACAATGACATATTGTTAAGTTTTGACTTTATGGTAAATATATTTTTGCGCGTTGAATGCATAAGAGATTTTTGTTATGCATGCACGTAAAGTTGTTTGCTCGTTATTAACTGTCAGTCTGGTGTTGTGATGTGACACGGGTGATTGCACGAATTAGCAGCTAGTTTTACTGTTTCGATTGATACGGTATTATCAATCTTTCAATACTATACGAATCATTAAGTGAATTCGTTGATGCATTCGTTAGATGGAGAAGCATAAGTTCGATGCCAGCACTCATGATATTAAATAACGGCAAATCTATGGTACAAATATTTCTGTTACAATTCTAAAAATTAGAAATGCTTTTTATGACTTTATCAATTATGTTCACGTGATAAAAGTAGATCACATAATAAGTCGATTCATGTTGTAAATCATAAAAAAGTAAATATGACATAATTTTCGTGGACGGCTGGTCAGATAATAATTACTTATGATACTTAAAAAAAAATTTTTTATAAAATCTATATGAAATCTATTTAAAATTCACGTACATTTCACACTGATTTTACGTAAATTCCTTGTGAAATTTTCGCTGTGTTAACGTGCATCCTTCGTGCGAATTTCACATCATTTCTTTCAGTTCTGTATACATATCAGCCTCTCATCCGCGGAGCTTTCTTATGCGTGCGCGCAACTCGGCAGCCACTCGGCGCATCGTAAATGGATTAAGACCTCGCGCTCAGCGCGCGTCAGGCTTCATCAGCTTTTCCAAAAACCTATACCTGTACAGTTCGAAGCTCAGCCTTATACATCCTACACACACGTTCGAAGTATATAGTGCTGTTTATTCTCTGAGCTATACACTAAGCGCATCGACAGCTCGTCGAGCTTTCGGCGTCGCGGTTGCGGGGGGGAGACTCCCGTTCGCAGATCGCGCAGAAAAGAAAAATCCTCCCTCGCTGGATGGATATATAATGGCCAAACGCGCATTCAAACTCGAGCTGCTGCTGCTGCTGTTGCTGCTGCACGCAGTTTATGTGTATGCCCCATGATTCGTATATAGGTATATATACTCGTAGCGTATACGAGGACGAGAGCGTATATAACAAGCTTGACTAAACTAAAGTTATCGCGCGCGCGCGGCAGCGAGCCGAGGGTAAGGTGTGCGTGTGTATCTGCGTGTGCGTGTGTGAGCGTCTGTATCGCCGAGTCGGCGGCGGCGGCAGTGATTAGCGTCGCGCAGGAGATACGTTTAGCAGCAGCAGCAGCAAAGTTTACTCCTGTACCACCCCTTGTACAGTCGAGTGCGGTAGTAGTAGTAGCAGTAGTCGTCGTCGTCGCGAGTTGCCAGAGAGCCCCTCGCAGTTCGTAGTAGTAGTAGTAGATAGTAGCTTAGTACGATACACGCGGGTAAAAGGCAAAAATGTGGCTTTTTAAGAGCTTGCGGAGCCCGCAAGGGAGTCTGTCTACCATAGCTGCTGCTGCTGCTGCTGCTTCGGTGCGGTCTCGCGCGCCCGGCTAAAGCTACACAGAGAGAAAGAGAGAGAGAGAGAGAGAGAGAGAGCGAGGAACAAGTCTCTGAAAACTTGGCGCACTTTTGGCGTTTCTCTTTGTCTCTCTCTTTATGTAGACTTTTCCTATATATATGTGCTCTCGAATCTCGACGGCGGCGAATTGAGCCTCGCCATAGGAACACACCAAAAATAATAACCCGGGCTCGTATTATCATCGCATTATTATTATTATGTTGTAGGAACATATCCGCGGAACGAGGCGATAGCGTATACGAGAGCCGCATCCTTGTATATAAGCATTACCTACCCGCAGCCAGTCAACCACCCCTGCCAGCTGCTGCTGCTGCGATTTTCCCTGCGTGTGCGAGCAGCGTCCGCGGGAAACCCGATACAGACGCTGCTGTAGCTAGCGCGTAATACAGAGCGTCTCGAAGACGCGAAACAAAAGCACAGCCAGCAGCAGCGAGCGAATCCCTGCAAGATTCTTGTACCGAGATTAAATTTTATTATTTCGGATATATATACTTATAACTGCATTATACTATATGTTAATGATGTCGAAGGTATAAACGAAACGACGTCTCCCTTATTTCGTGCGTCAGGACCACGGTAGTCATCGTCTTCGTCGACGCCGTCACGTTTTCATGTTTTCGCTTCATCGCACGCGCCACCGGCGTCGCCAAAGAAAACGACGACGACGAATTGACGTGTGTACACCTCTCATCACGGGAAATGGAGATCGATACTACTTATTCCAGTGTGAATACTCGCCCTTATATAACTCGCGCATCAATACATAGGTATAGTAGAGTATATATAAGTGTACGTTTCACAATTTACGCTGCGCCGCGTATATACACTTGGCGATGCTCGAGATTAGTATCGAGAGTGCTATTACAAGTTTTAGAAGCTACTGCTAGTTATGGTGTATATATACTACCCCCGGTGTCGATGTATTATACGCTCTCTGCAGACTCCACCTACAATATTTCTCGATGCACGTATCCGCGCGCATCTTTTGTTCCGCAGCGCAAACACATAGCTCGCTCTTTGTCAGCACTCGTATACGCGTAAAACGGGGAGCACAGCAACGCAACAGTCGTCTACGTGATTGAGTTTGAACATTTTTATTGCGCGGCGGTAGTCTTTCTCGCGGGTCTGCGCGCCACGATCTATGCTGTTGTATGCGCGCGTATACATCAGAGAGCGAGCTTTATATATATCGAGGAACCGAGCGATGTTATATGGAGCGTTTACACAGCAGCTAGTACAGCAGCAGCAGCAGCCCGCACGCAGCTATTTTCCAAACCATATGTGCCAAGGGTATCAACGTCAACACACACACTCGACGCGAGTTGTTGCCGCCTATATATGTGTATATGGTGTGCGTATACCGCACTGCCACCCCCACCCCCTCCTGAACTTGTAAGGTATACTGAAATTTAATTATCGTCATTGTGTACGTGTGCGTGCTTGTGTGTATACAAGAGTGCGGGCGGCTCTATATAACCCGGTATATACGTATATAACGCCAGGCGACGATAAAGTATATGTTTAACTTTTGAAAACTGGAAGGATTCCCTGACGCGCCTGTACGTACACATACACACACATAGACGGCGCTGCGGCGATAGGATGATACGACGACGCATCGCAAGCACACACACACAGACACCCACGCGTACAAGGGAGGATGAGCTTCGCGTTGTTGCCTGCAGTGGCTGTGATGGAGCGTTTTTCCCAGCTCAAAATAATTGCAAACAGCGGAGATTACGCTGCCACGGGCGGCGCAGCAGCAGCGCGCCTATGTTTGTTCTTCGAGTTTTGCAGCCAGCGGCAGCAACGCACGTCCTGTAGGCTATCTCTCGTGCACCGAGCTTTTGCCGCCGCTGTTACTCTTACGTCCTACTGCTACACCGCACGCTGCAGGATCAATAAGTCAGGGAGGATTTAAAGCACTCGGCGGTGGCGAGCGTCGCCGATGCGGAACGACAGTGTGTCTGTGTGTGTGTGTGTGTGCGTTGTATTAAAATTTCATCCGAGTGACGGACGTGCGGAGAGAGAAAGAGAGTGAGAGCCACCAGACGTGCTCGTTAATGATTAAGTCCTTTTTTCCTCAAAAATACGCGCAAGCTCGTGTCGACGACTTATTCATTATTACACCGTCGAAGCGCGCGCCCAAAATAAGAGTTTGGTCGCGGATGTAATTTGCGAGGCAGCCGACTCCGCGATACAGCACCATCTAAATAGCTCCATCAGCAGTAGCAGCAGCAGCAGCTCCTCGAGTTAGCTCGAGCTGTTATTTTATTTTTCGTGTTTCGTTTTAGCCAGACAACTGCAGCATTAATGACCACTCGGTTATGTGTTTTGCAAATGTTAAGCTAAGCATTCTTTAGAAGCCACTCTTTCTCTCTCTCTCTCTCCTCTCGACCTTCCTATTCGAGCGCTCGACTCTCGAATTAAACAATTACACGTGTTGGAGCGTCGGGGCACTCTCTCTCTCTCTCTCTCTCTCACGTCGTATATATACACACGGTGCAAATGCAATTTAAGCTTGCACGAGCATAGCCGTTGTATATATATACATAGTAGGGGCTCGTTGGCTGGCTGCAAGTGGAGCAGCAGGCCGCGCCGCTGCATATTTTGCTACCTTTGAATTTCATGAATGCTGGACACTTCACTTTTCTTCCGGCCTCGCCGTCGGCGGCGGCGGCGGCGCGTTGATTTCACCTAAGAAGAGGAAAAAATAAGAGAGAGAGAAAAAGATACGGACGCAGAAATTAAAAAAAACAGCGAATAAAGCAGTTTTTACAAACTTTTCTGGCTACACTTATATATATACGGGCGTGAGCGCGCTAGTCCGAGCCTAGCTGATATTATTCGGTGGGTCTAAGGCACGAGGACGACGACGACGAGATGAGTCAAAAATACTCGAAATACTTTTAAATTAGAGCAAAATGTTCATCCAAAAGTGAGAAATTTGCGAAATTCTTTCGGGTAACGAACGTTATTAGGCCAAAGCTGCAAGTATAGTCGTAGCGGTAGCTATATCCTGGTC